GTGGCACAGTGGTTAAGAATCCGCCTGCCAATGCATGGGACACGGGTTCGAGCTCTGGTCCGGGAAGATCCTACACGCCGTGGAGGAACTAAGCCCGTGCGCCACAACTACTGAGCCTGTGCACTTAGAGCCCACGAGCCACAACTACTGAAGCCTGCACACCTAGAGCCCGTGCTCCGCAACAAGAGAAGCCACCGCAATGAGAAGCCTGCGCACCGCAACAAAGAGTAGCCCCCGCTCGCCGCAACTAGAGAAAGCCCACGCGCAGCAACAAAGACCCAACACAGCCAAAAATAAATAAATAAAATTAATTAATTAATTTTTTAAAAAAGAATAAGATGATGCTAATATTTTTCCAGGTTAGATTCTTAAAATAATGCTGCTCTGATGGATCAGACCAAGAGAAGGAAGCCTGACATTTTTCCAAGATACTGACATTTTCAATGGCGTTATTCTAGAGATTGTGATTGTGTTTTAAAGCAGGCACAGAAGGATCTGGAAGCACACATCTAGAAAGTGAAGGTTGCATCTCACATTGTGATATTTAATAGCAATGAGGATATGCTGGTCCCCAGTTTAAGTGAAAAAACAAAGGAGGAAATCAAAGGACACTCAGAGAGAAGGAATGATGTGTTGATACCGTGGGACAGAAGTCTCATCTCCCCTCACAAATTCTGACGATGGGAGGACAGGCCTGGGCAGATAAATTCCTTCCTCTTCCCGGGGTTCTCCCTGAGCTGCAGCTCCTGAGTGCATCCTTCTAGGGGCTTTGCTCAACTACCGCTGGTCCTCCTCACAGATCAGCATGGAGCGGAAACCAGCACCCATGCGAACGGGGCAGGGTGGACACCCCAAAAGCCCCCACAGAACTCCAATACGGGCACTCTTCCCTCGCAACACCCCTCTGGGGAGCAGCAAAGTAAATGCACAAATCTCGAAAATGGTAAGCTTTTAACCAACTGGATTCAACAATCAATTGGAAATGGTTACACTTCTTTTAAACCATTTTTCTTACAGAGGCACTCGGTGGATTACCATTTGCCATTGAAAGAACTGGAGGATGCCCATCATATATGGCTGAACTAAAAGCAAAATTAAGACAACATATCAAGAAAGAATGCCCTCTTACACCCAGACAAAACTCTAGTTTGAAAAGATACATGCACCCCTATGTTCATAGCAGCGCTATTCGCAATAGCCAAGACACGGAAACAACCTAAATGTCCATGAACAGATGAATGGATAAAGAAGATGTGGTACATATATACAATGGAATATTACTCAGCCATAAAAGGAATGAAATAATGCCATTTGCAGCAACATGGATGGACCTAGAGATTATCATACTAAGCAAAGTAAGTCAGAAAGAGAAAGACAAATACCATATGATATCACTTATATGTGGAATCTAAAGTACGACACAAATGAACTCATCTATGAAACAGAAACACACTCACAGACAGAGAGAACAGACTTGTGGTTGCCAATGGGGGGTGGGCAGGGAAGGACTGGGAGTTTGGGATTAGCAGAGGCAAACTATTATATACAGGATGGATAAACAACAAGGTCCTACTGTACAGCACAGGGACCTATATTCAATATCCTGTGATAAACTATAATGGAAAAGAATATATATATATATGTATAAGTGAGTCACTTTGCTGTACAGCTGAAATCAACACAACACTGTAAATCAACTAGACTTCAATAAAATTTAAAACAAAAAGAAGAATGAATGCACTCTTATACAAGGACAGGAGAACCGGGATCCTTTTACATCTTCAGTGCCCAGAGGGAAAAATAAACTTTCAAGAGTACGAATCTGTGCCACATGTATAATGCAGGATTAGTACCGGCAGTAAGTAGCGCATCGACGGAAGTGCCGTGTGTGCCAGGCAGACACAGACTTGGTCTAATTTTGAGGAATTAACATATGCAAAGCACTGCACTCAGCAGTCTCCCTCCTTGAGGACACAGAAATCTGTCTTGATATTGTCAACTCATAAATCCAAAGAGATTGGGTTTGTTTAGCGTTGTGAAAACTAAGGAGAACAGCAGCAGATATCTATGAAGATAAGAAGGAAAAATAAAACGCACTGCACTCCAACAATTAATGAAAGAACCAACAGCACTCTGCACCAGCAACAGCAGGGAATTTATTTCTAGCTCAAACACGAGGCAACGTCATTACGAGCACGATTAAGTCCCGCAACGAGCTGCCGAAACGACTGAAAGACTGCCATCCTGGAGAGACAGGGGACCGCACAGGGGGACCACAGACAAGGTCAGCCGGGAGTCACACACCAGCCCTTCGAGGGTCAGAGGGATCGGACAACCAAGAGGCTGGGTGGATACGGCTCAGTCGCTCTCCACAAACTGGATTCACCTTAAGTTACCACCCAAACCCCAGCCCTCTTCCCTGAAGTGTAAAGAGAATCACTAGTACGGAGGTGAGCCTTGCACTCACAAGGCTAACACTTTTCAAATTATAGGCACAGTAATATAGTCACAGGTGTCTATAACCTCTAAGAGTCAAATTTTAGAAAAGCAATTAGAAGAATTAAAAATACAGTCATATGAAAAAAATTTTATTGCTATGTTGCTTTGAGATGCTAAGTGGGCCAGACTCCAAACTAAAATAGTCACTTTAGAGCCAAATTTCATCAAAAGCAATCGACCGCTTGAATATTTTATTGGAATAAGTAAGTAAATGTCAAATGTCCTGTTTAGATTTTACAGAAATCTCCCTTTAAGGACGCTATTATCAAGTGAAAACGGCAGATTATAAAGACTCATGATCCCATTGATATGAAATTATCAGCACACACAGTGAGCTATCTGAAGGATGGTCACCTAATGTCAACAGTGGAAATATCTGGGGGTTGGGATTTTGGATAATTTCACTTTCAACTGTATGGTTTTGTATGATTTTTCTATCATAACAGAACTATAAAGCACAGGACCCAGACTGCTGGATTCAAATTTCAGCTTTACACCTTATTAGCTGTGTGATCTTGAGAAAGTTACTTAACCTCTCTGTGCCTGGGTGACCTCCCCTGTAAATAAAAGACAAAGACAGTCCCCCAGCTCAGAGTACTGTGAGCAGGCTAAATGCACTGGTGCACAGAAGGCACTCAGCACAGGCCTGGAGCACAACAAGCCCTCAGGACACGGCAGCCGGCGGTAGAAGCCACAGTGCTGCCAGATCTACGTAAAATTGACTTATCACACTCAATAAAAGCAGCTGCAAAAGCAACTATTTCATGGGCAAAAGTAAAAAGGGGAGCAAGAAAATCTCACTGCTTAAGTTTAAATAACAACCCCTCAAACTCCCAAAACAAAAAACTAGCAGATCTAGAGAACACACAAGTACGTGCAGAAGAGGTCCCTAAGAAGACATTTCCCCTGGAATCCATCCCCCTCACTTCAGGAAACAGAGAGAAAGAGGGGCCCCAGGCAGCAGCTTCATATGTGCACGTCTGCACTCTCAATTCCGTAGAGAAATAGAAGACATCCTAATGAGGTTAGCATTTGTAGGACAGAAGATTCGTCCCAATTACAGAAAAGAAAATCTCTGAAACGCCTTAATCTACAAACGCTGGAATGTTCATTTTAAGAGTGGATTTAGAGAAAATGAAAATTATATAAACACACACTTGATTTGTTAAGAGCGGATGATGAAAAATGGTGGATTATCCTGAACCCTGGATTCTCTTTCTTTGAGAGGGAGACGGTCCACAGAATCGATAAGTGAATTCAGTGGTGTATTAGAGGCTGGTAAGGGCTATGGAGAAAAACGGGGTGCAGAGGGCGGAGAGGAAGTGCTGACATTCCAGGCAGGGTGGTCAGAGAAGGTGACGTCTGAGCTGGGACCAGATCAGGGGAAGTTCAACATGTCACTCCACGATCACAAGCTCTGGTGAAAGTTTTGATCAGGCTGAAAGCTCTCGTTGAAGACAAAGTATCAGTTACCGCTGTGTTCACTTCTCCTGGCCACGCCTCTCAACTTTGATAACATACGCTCCACTTACTACACACATTCTCTGTTCTAGACAGTCTGCTGGCGTTTGTTATTTCACTTTTTAAAATCTAAAGATGTGAGGTTCTTGAGTAATCTTCTCCATAATTATCTTCAGCAAAGAAAAAGAATCAGGAATAAGAAAGCAGTCATCTGCTGTTTCTGGTAACCAATGTCCATTGCCCTGTTTCCGAGCAAGAGAACCCAGACTTTCCTCAGGGAACAAAGCCCGTCTGGCTCCCAGCCAGCAGGGTTCAGGCGCAGCTGAGCGTAGCCCTCACCTCCAGGGGTAAGTGTACTGCCTGGTCCCACCAGCAGGGGCGCCACAGCCCCCGAGCACGTGACCAGGTGGAGTAGGACCCCAGGGGCAGGTCTGGGAAGAGGTGCCTGCTTCCTGGGGTTGCTGATGAGGCCTCCTTGCCACCCTCGTGGAAGGGAAGCTGGTGGGTCAGCCTAAAAATGAAGTCAATTTAAAGGTAAGCAAGCCAAGGACTTCCCTGGTGGCGCAGTGGTTAAGAATCCGCCTGCCAATACAGGGGACACGGGTTCGAGCCCTGCTCTGGGAAGATGCCACATGCCGCGGAGCAAGGAAGCCCGTGCGCCACGACTACTGAAGCCCGCGCACCTAGAGCCCATGCTCTGCAGCAAGAGAAGCCAGAAGACCCAGTGCAGCCAAAAATGTAAATAAATAAAAAATTAAAAATAAATAAAATAAAGGTAAGCAAGCCAAGAAAACCGAATAGAGACGGACGCCCTGGACAGCACGTTGGCAGGAATGGAACTCAGCCTCACCCTAAGATGATTTTGCCCCCTTCTTTTCCGCATAGCTGAAGAGTACCTTTCCTTTTTTGCTTAAATTACGTCAAGCTGGGTTTCTATCACTAGCAACCAATAGTCTTCCCAAATACAAAGAAACCGTTGGTCGCTGGCACTTTTTCCCCCCAGGATTTTCCCTAGAAAGCCAGCAGCAGCACGTTCTTACCCGTTCCTGACCAGCAGTGTCCCAGATGAGGAACTTATGAAGTTCATTTCCACAAGGCACTGTTTTGGTCATAAAAGATGCCCTGAAAAAGAAAACCGACATCTCCACGTTACCGATCACCCCTACAACCTTCACGAAGACTCCTGTTTCCAACAAGTGAAGGGAGAGCTTCTGCAGGACTCCAGAAGCTCTCCTCTCAGGGGTCACGGAGAGGAAAGAAGGGCTGTGGAGTCCTGTCACCAAAAAAAAATATTCTGCATTTTCTGTTAGTACAACGGGGGGTTTAGCGGGGGACAAGGCAAAGAATGCATTCAAAACACTGTTTCCAAAACATTTATCTTCAATGGTTCTAAGATATTATGCCTGAAATCCGGAAAGAAAACAAAACCTTAGATTTTAAAAACATATTATCACCACAGTGAAGAGTGAAAGAGCATCTGGTATTCGGGCGTCTGACAGTGTGGGCCCTGCAGAGGTGCAAACAGTGGCGCATACTCCCTGCTCTATGAATCCAGCACTGGCAGCGATGATTAGAATACTGTATCTCATTCCCATCCTGCTTGCCTAAGCGCAGGGATAAAGATGGGTAGCTTAACAAACATTTGTTTTCTCCAAGAAAAAGGAAGGATTTGAAATTCTCAGTAGATAATGAAACACTTGCTATTTTCTTTTTTGCATAGTTCCTCTTAAAGCTTTTTTTTGGTGCTCAGGAAAGAGGTAAAAATCCTTGTACTGGATAAAGCTTCCCCTTCATTAAAAAATAGCAAGCCTCTCCAATCCTGTGACAGCCAGACATGAGGAGCCTCCTGATGTGATGGGATTAGTACACGCATCACCTGGGCAGCATTCCGGGCAAAAATGTTTCATCTGAATTTAATCATGAGGAAGCAATCGGGCAAATCTGGAATGGGGAACATTCTACCAGACAACGGCCTGAATGCTCGGAATAAGTCAGTGTCATGAAAAGCAAACAAAACAAAAGGCAGGGGAATTGTTCTAGATTAAGAGAAAGAGACAAAAGAACCAAATGCACTGTATGGACCTTGACTGGACCCTGGAGACCCTGGGTTAGGAGGAAAAGCGTTTCGAAACACATTTTGAGGACAATTGGAGAAATTTAAATTTAGACTATATGTCAGATATTATCATTGAATCGAACTAACTTTCTAGGTAAAATAATGGTGTCCTCCTCATGTTCTCCTTAGGAGATGCACACCGGAGTCTGCAGGGGAAACATGTCAGGGCGTCTCTCACTTTCATGGACCCCGCAGGCCCTCCGGGTCCAGTGCAGAGTCCAGCCCTGCGACCAACCACTCAGCACTCAGCCCAGTAATATTTCCTCAATTTCTACTCCTTTCCCCCAAGACTAAGAGGCAAACTACAGAAGTCCCAGGGAGAAAGGTATTCGGCCCTGCAATTCCCATACTGTTCCCACAACATACACACACACCAAGGTTAATAGTTCTAATTATCAACATACAATTGTACTAAGTGGAAATTCTAAGTATTTTTCTAAGTGATGTGACCTAATGTGATCAATATCGCATCTGCCCCATGACATTTCATTTCTTTAAGAGTTCTTAAACTATACATCCCAGATTACCAGTCAGAGCAAATATATTCCAAAAATAAAAGTATCTTTACTACTTTTCTCATTATAAACGCAATATAAGTATTTCACAAAAAAGAAATTCAAAAAATGAAAGTAAAGCAGGAAAGTAAAATCAACTGTAATTTCACTACCTAGCCACAATCACTGCTAATAAGTTGGTATATGTCTTTCCAAATGATCTTTACACAACTTTTACCCCCAAATTGATAATACATAAATTTTGTTTTTCCTCCACTTTACATACTCTGGACATCTTTCTATTTCTATGAATATAGATCAACATCATTATCTAAAGGGACTGCATATTACACAGCATGTTATGGATGTAAGTTCATCTTCATCACCTATTTTTCACTATTATGACAATAGTTACATGAATACCGTTGTACCTAAACCTTTGTGTCCTTGTACGACTATTCTTTGGACTTAATTCTTAGAAGCAAATATTCTCCACGTTGCTATGTTCACCAAACGGTGGGTTGTACCAACCTATATGCCCACTGCAGTGTGTGAGATGACCTTTTCCCCAACCAAGAATCTTTCAAATCTTTCAGGATGACACATAGAAAATGGTATCTCATTCCTGTTTTTGTTATGGTTATCATAAGTCTGGGCATCACTTTAGTGTTTACTGTTCACTTGTTTTGCTTTTGTGAATCTTTAGCTCATGACCTTTTCTCACTTTTCAGTTGGGATGTTCATCCCTTTCTTATGTACTTTTTGAGTATTTTACACCAACTTTTTGTAACAGTATATTTTAAAAAATATTCTTCCAGTTAAATCTTTGCCCTTTAACTTGGCTTATGGATTTTTTCCAAAAACGCTTTTTTAAATTTTACGTGGACAGCTATATCAATATTTTGTCTCGGTACTTATTTTTGTTTTTGTTTCTACTTTGATGTAAGCAGACTTTCATTCATTTCTCAATATATTCTAGGCAATGGGATAAATAATACAGCAACTCTGCCCGTAACAAGTTCTCAGGCTTAGAAAACTAAGTTTGTGCCTTTAAAATCTTAGACTTTACTAACTGGGGGGGAAAAAAAAAATCCAGGCCAACCCCTTCACTTTACAGATAAGAGAGGGGTAAATCTGAGACCTGAGAGATGGCCTTGACCCTGGTCAAAGAAGAATCTGATGACACAGTCAGGAGAGAATGCAGAGGCCCCGTCGCCAGCCTGCGTAACGGGGGCTCACAAAGTCCCTCAGTTTGCTCACCTGTGAAACAGGTCCCAAATCTATTCTGCATGATCTACGGGCTGTTGTAGGGTCAAATGAGGAAATGATAGCTGTGAAATGCCCCCCTTGGTACACAGTAAGCCCGTGAGGAACAGCTCTAGTCACAGTAGTAATGAGTATCATATATATATATGTACGTATATACCTATATGTGCAGACACACTACACACATGCGCGCGTACATGCACACATGCACACACCCCTCTCTGTTCCTGATTTCCTGCCACTAGGAGAAAGGCTGTGTCACTATTTGAAATGAAGACCGACAACCATTACTCTTTTGGTTGTTGGGGTTTTCAGCCTCCTTTGCCAGCTTTACGACCTCAGACTCTCAGGCATCTTCTCTTCCCTCTAGTTGCCTTCTCGAGCGATGGGCGTGAGCAAGGCTGAACTGACTTCGTTCCCTGCAGGAAGCAAAGTCTGGCAGAGAAGTTAACACCATTTCCTTGTAAAGGTCGAAACAGAAAGGGAGGTGCACACACACGTCTGTTCAGGACGCCGACAATCTGCCTAAACAAGCAGCCAGGGTTTCTTATGAGTCACAGGACGGTAAGGATGAACTTTGGCTGCTGAAACGCTGCCCTTTCACAGCCTTCGGTCTTTCCCCAGCGCAGCGATCACAGTGGGAGGGAGGTGGACTCCCAGAGGACTCACTTGTTGTGAGTCAGAAGTTTGCTGTGTGCCCGCCATGAAATTTCTCCACTTACGGCTGATGGAGACCATCGCCCTGTCCTCATCAATCCTACCCAGTTCCCCAAATTTATACACACATTGTTTCTCTGCTGAGGAAGACCAAACCTTGCTCTCTGCAGAGAGCATGCTGTCTTCGGGGAGAAAAATAAGCCAGGCCAAGTTCTACGACAGTGAAATATCAGGCACCTGCAAAACAGCACAGCAAAAGCGCATCTGGCAAAGGCATCCGTAGGAAAGGGGAAAATGGAACAGGAAAATGCTCCTACGTTCCAAGGTCGGGGTCTGGGGTGAGCAATCCTCCCCTCGCCTCCCAAGCATTAGAAAGGAGATGCTGACATTGGATTAAGCCAGGAAAGGAAAATCAATCTGCCTACAGGCTGTGCAGACAGCTCTGCTGTGAGTGGATGCGTTCCCTGTTTCCCCGCAGGCGAGTCAAAGCAGAACCCTCAGGGATTTGCCCCAAGTCTCGACTTCCATCTGGAAATAAAGCCAGCATGATTTGCAGAATAAAGCTCTTGGAGATCAAGGAAATGGCCTTAGGCTGCAGTGTGAGGAGGCTGGTTGGGGGGATGGACTGACAGGGACAGTAAGACCGGACACACTGCCTATAAGTCCCTGAATTTCTGTCCAAGTCTTTACAGTTGGGATTGGTTCTCACTGGCTGGGATGAAACCACTTGAAGGCTCAGACACAGAATGACCTCTCTGAGTGCTTAGAAAGGAGGAAAGGTGAATTAGAAGAAGAGACGAGAACTCACCCAATGGTTGGGCTGATGTTGTGGTCAAAGTGATCCTGGACAAAGCGACACACGATGCTCGATTTCCCGACACCGGTGTCCTGGAAGAGGAAGAGAACACAGCCGTGAAGATCAAAGCCGCCGATTCTGACCGAGTCTAAACAGAACCCAGGACACGGGAGCTTACTTCCAGTTGGTGGGAAGGGGGATATTTTCCTCTGTTTCATACCAGCATTTTCAACAATGAAATCGTATTGCTTTCATAAAATGAAAATAAGTATGGTAAAAATAAGTTTAAGAAACATGTCCCATCTGTACACAGTAACTAACCTAGAACCGGCATGTTCACAGTACGTTTATTTCCAGAAATCTGGAAATTCTTGGAGGGGTCTAAGACATATGGCAATGCATCACGTTGTTTTGCTAGAAATAGAATTGATTTTGTTCAAAACTTTAGCACTCTAAAAAGATGCAATCTATTTTTCTAGGTATCGCCCTGTAAAAATGATGAATTCTAATTATTGCATTTCTAACATTTTCTCTCTAGAATCTGACGGCCGCGTAAGAACCTCCAGTTTTGCTCAATTATATAAAGGTCGCATCTCAGCTCTTTCTCTGTTAAATAATTCTTTAAAGCTGATTAGGACAGGGGTCCAGTTACACACTGAAACTAGGACACATGCGTTTTTCTGCAGTCCCTCCCAAAACACTTGGTCAAATGGTTCAAGGAATACGAAACACAAATTCACAAGGTCAAAGAGATGGGAGAAGAGACAACCATCAGACCAGTGATGACAGCGAGGAGCAGTGTTGGGGGAGAGGGTGTCACTGGAGCCAAAGGGCCTGCAGGGGGGAGAGCAAGTCAGTCCGCGCCCACATTCCCTGAAGGTGTCAAGAGCTGGAGGGCGACGCTGGAATCAGAATCAGGTGAAAAGCTGCACAAGATAACACCCTGGGCGCCCCAGGCACGTAACCAGGGGAGGGACATTCCATTAGGACCCAGGAGGCTGACTCTCCAGGAACTGTGTATCAGCCACCGGCTGGCTCGGGACTCCACATGCAGCTCAGGGGGCCCCGGGGCTACTGCCCTGGCCTGTGGGACCCCAGATGGAAGAGGCAAGGGTGCGCCTCTGGGGAAGAGGAAAACCCTGCAGACCCTGACATGTGGTGTCCCCCAACTACAGGCCACGTGTGCACCCACCCACAAGCCCCCGTGCAAACAGAGCTTTGGGGATGCATTTTAGCCTTTGAAAAAGAAAGGCTCAGCTAAGAAATACCAGACATTTATACGCACAAAAAAAGAGCAGGATGCAATTTTAGCAGATCATTCAGAAAGTTAAGAGGGACCCCATAGAAATTAAAAATACGATGGTAGAAGTGGAAATTTCAAAGGGAGAGTTACAGGGTGAAGCCGAGAGATTGCCCAGAAAGCAGGGGAAGGAGAGCAAAGCAACTGCCCCAGCTGCCAGCAGCTGTGCTTTGACAGCGGCCGCAGGGCGCGTGGAAAAGTCCTGTCGCCCTGCTCTGAGGGCATCACGGAGACTTGAGATGGATAGTGAAAGGGAAGCGAGACACATTTAGCCCAAGAAGGAAAAAAAATACTGATATACTTCTCTTAAAAATATAACGTTAGGGCTTCCCTGGTGGCGCAGTGGTTGAGAGTCCGCCTGCCGATGCAGGGGACGCGGGTTCGTGCCCCGGTCCGGGAGGATCCCACGTGCCGCGGAGCGGCTGGGCCCGTGAGCCACGGCCGCTGAGCCCGCGCGTCCGGAGCCTGTGCCCCGCAACGGGAGAGGCCACAACAGTGAGAGGCCCGCGTACCGCAAAATAAAAATAAAAATAAAAAATAACGTTAAAAGCCTACAGATCAAGGAGAAAACGCTGAAACTCAGAAAAAGATGTTTTTCTCTAGACACTGAAATATGAAATGAGATTTGAAACACCACTGCCCATCTGAACTATGGGCACGCCCTCTCGTTCCTACATTCAGGGGACCATTCCAGCAAACCTGGGGCGAGAGGGCTGTGGGCTCAGGATCCTCATCAGAAAGTCAGTGTCCAGAAGGCGTCAGTTCCCAGTGCACGCGGCCTGCGCTGGTCCCGAGCCCCAGGGAAAGCGCACCAAGCACTGTCTCTCTGCAGTGTGGGCATCGCTGTGTGGAGCTCAGAGAGGTGAGGACAGAATGGAAACATCAGCTCCTCTGACTCCAAATCAGTGCCGCTGCTATTTCTGAGCTGCACCTTCGGGAGGGATTACAGCTAACATTCCTCACTCCCCACAAACCACAAGGCCCTCCTTCCCATCTCAGCTGCTCTTAAAGCCCCCGTGGATGAGCAGACCCTTGCCACCATCCTGCGGTCCTCGCAGCCCCGTAGACACTGGACACGGAAGAACTGGGCTGCCACCCAGGCCGCCCTCCTTCCCAGCTGGGACGACGGCCCCTTGACAGCCTCTGCCCAGCAGCTGGGTGCTCGCCCTCTAAGGGAGGGGCTGGCTCCAGGGCTCCAGGGTGCATCATTGGGGTCATGATTCTGCTCTGGGGGCATGTTTTGGAGTGCATCCATTTGCTCTACCCAAGGGCTCAGCTCAAAACTGGCTCCAAATCCTCCAAACAGCCCAAGGGTTCTGCGAGGCCAACCCTTAAAATCCCCTTAAAGATGAAATATTCCAAAGCCAAAATTCCGAATTATCCATCTCTATTCATCGTCTTCTCTGGGTAACTCAAGCTAAAATACCCCTGGTCCTGCACAGTTAAAGCCGCCAGCCTGCTCAAATTTAGACTGAAGTTCATTCTTCCAACAAATACACTCAGTGTGTCTTTTCTGTTTACAATGTAACTCCCAACATCTCTCTCTTATACAATTGACAGGAAGGAAATAACAGGACAAAAGCATAGGCAAAGTGTTAGTTTCTCTCCGAAAGGAAAATATTCTTACAAAGCACGGCCTAAATCATCTTCTGGGGCCAATGGCTTTGTGATGACCTGGGGACCTGGTCCTCCCATGCCTGCTGTTCCCCCTCCAGCCACAAGGGGAAGGCCCGGCTCGAGGATGGCAGAGGAGCCAGGCAGGATGCCGGCGCTTCTCATGAATCACTCAGCTTGGTGACTTCCTTTTCCTGCAGGACCTCATTCAGACCGTGACACACACACACAGGAGGAAAACGCCCTGAGTCCTGACTATCCCACAGGAAATCGCAAAGGTCTGAAGCAGGAAATCCTGGGTGGATAAGGAGGCAGAGAAGAAAGAGGAGGGCTGAGGCCCGGGCTGTTCATGGCTCTCCATGGCCCCGTTACTTCTGGGGGACTTGACACCAATGGAAGGAAGCTCGTTCACTTCCTGAGATGAGAAGACTGTCACAGCCCTGTCCAGCCTCTAGTTCTGCACAAGAGGAAGCTGCGTGGCTTCTGAGGTCACACAGCAGGCCGCAGAGTCAGAACCTAATTTTCTGAGTCCCGGTGAAATCCTTAAAGGCTCTCATCAGGTTAAATCAACCGCCCTGCCAAATGTAAATTTCTTTAAAAAAAAAAAGTCCATTTCTAGAACCCACAAGGAGTGCTTTTACTATTGCTTTCCAGAGTTACCTTCCTTAGTAGAGTCACATGCCCTAAAGATACGTCTGCTGGGTTTTCCCTTAACGAAAGGGGGACATATTGCCAACTACCGGGGAGGCATTAGAATAAAAATTTTTTTTGTTTAACTGAAGTATACTTGATTTATAATGTCACGTTAGTTTCAGGTGTACAGCACAGTGATTCAGCGTTACATACACACACATCTATATCTGTATACTCTTGTTCAAATTCTTTTCCCTTAGAGTTTCTTACAAAATACTGAGTACAGCTCCTTGTGCTGTACAGTAGGTCTTTGCTGTTTATCTATTTTATATACAGCAGTGTGTATATGTTAATTCCAACTCCTAATTTATCCCTCCCCGCCTTTCCCTTTTGGTAACCGTAAGTTTGTTTTCTACGTCTGTGGCTCTACTTCTGTTTTGTAAATAAGCTCATTTGTATCTTTTTTTTTTTAGATTCCACATATAAGTGACATCATGTATTTGTCTTTCTCTGCCTGGCTTACTTCACTTAGTATGACAATCTCGAGGTCCGTCCATGTTGCTGCAAACGGCATGATTTCATTCTTCTTACGGCTGAGTAATATTCCATAGTAGATATATACCACATCTTCTTTATCCATTCATCTGTCGACGGACATTTAAGTCGCTTCCACGAGAATAAAACCAATTCTGACTGCACAAAGCAGGAATAAAATTTAGTACAATCCTCCCTGGGGGATAAGCAGGATTTCTTTGTATCCTAACTTGTATGGTTGATACCAGAGCCATTTTGAGGCCGAGCCATCGGCTCCTGCTACTTCCTGGATATTCCTCCCATAGACGTTATTGCTATTATTTGGGGCTAATAATACAATTCTCTGCGAACAATCACATACTCTGCCATGACACTCTCTGCTCTTTGAACGGTCCCCATTATTAATCACGTGTAAATCTGGAATCACGAACCACAAGCTTTCAGCGGCTGCCACATAAATCTCTAGGTGTCACTTAATTCACTCCTGGACTAGGGCAACAGGCTGCAGGCAGGGTTCCCACCTCTCAGAATAGAGAACGGGAAATCCTAGGCAGCGAATATCACCGCTACGTGATGCTGCTCTAACAGAAGACATCACAAATCAACTCAGGACACATTATTTCAGGAACCTTTTCAACCCAGCTCTGCAGAGAATCACTACGGCCCGATCAGGTGGGTTCCCAGGACAGACAGCTGCCTTCTCCCGACCTTCCACCCACTGCTCCCAGCCACTCCACTCCAAACTCACAAAGCACTGCTCTACAGACGCTCTAGACATCTTTACAGGCGGTAAGGTTGAGAAACTAATAAAGGAATATATACTGTTGATAACATTATAAATCCACATGCCTCTTATGGAAAGGAAACTGCAAACGATAACAAGACCTACAGACTCAGGAATTCCATTCCTAAGAATGCAGTTAAAAGAAGGGGAAAAAATGAGCACAAAAAAAGTTCACCGAGGTATTATTTATAAAAATTAGAAATCACCTAAAACATAACTTTAAATAAATTATGGCATAGATGGTACTCGTGAAGCTTTCATCTCAGACCTATCAAAACATCAA